TGGTTAGAGCTAGATGTGCTACTAATCCTGCTGCATCTCCAGTTAAATGATTTTTTAAATACCACATCTTCTGTGCGTCTGGCAACTGAGTGTTGTGGATCATTTCTGTGAACAAGTTGTCGAACTCCATCCACTTGGTATATGTTCCGTCAAACTTCGGAATTGTTATGTTAGGTAACCTAACTTGCACCTTTTCCGCAACGAGAGGCGGTTGCTGTTGATTTGATGTCACCTTTGATGTTAGTGACACCAGCACATTTTGAACTTCTTCTTCTAGTTCAATATATTTCTGGATATCATATCCAACTCCTATTGGATTGGAATGTATTTCCCAGATTTTAAAATTAACGGCTTCAATTTCTTGCCATAATTTGTTAATTCTGTCAATATTTACTTGGTAATATGACAGAGGCTGTTGCTCGTATATGCGCTTGACGCCATTGATGAGCCGCAATAATGAACATGATATTGCGCGTTGTTTGTTGATGAGCCCTTGAATCTGTGGATCAGGGCCGCACGCTGGATCATCTGTGTGTCCAACATTAAATCTTGATGTTGATGGAACAGTTACAGGCTCGACTATTTCTTCTTGGTTGAATTGTTGAATGGCCGTTTCAAATTGTCGGCTGTACTGTTTGTAAATATTCAGGATCTCTTGATAATATTCCTTTTTTATGTAGTCGTGTCCGACTGGAATTGAATCAAGACTCTGAATTTTACTGTCGACTTCATCGAAGGACTCCCACGCTGAGTTTAAACGCTTCAGTCGTTCTTCATAGTACGCCTGGGTTTTCCTTGCCTGACCATCCTTCTTGAAGTTTCTTATGATGTTCTGGATTTCAGCACCTGTTTCAGCCTGTTGGTTGATAAGGTCCTCCATGGTCACCAGAAAATTGATTGTTGAAATGTTGATACGTGTATGTCACCAAATGACAACAATGATGCGTGTATGTCCACAAATGACAATACTGCTGCGTGAATGACAATACTGATGCGTGATAGATCACGTGTATGTCCACAAATGACAATACTGATGCGTGATATCACGTGTATGTCCACTGAATGACAACAATGATGCGTGTATGTCCACAAATGACAATACTGCTGCGTGAATGACAATACTGATGCGTGATAGATCACGTGTATGTCCACAAATGACAATACTGATGCGTGATATCACGTGTATGTCCACTGATGCGTGATAAATCACGTCGGGGTCACCAAAAATGTTATGATCCGTACCTAGTTTGATACGGACTGAAGCTAATCCGGCACTTGAACCAGCTTAGCTTTTCACGATATGTTATCCTCCGTATCTAGTCTGATACGGATTCACTAATCCGGCACTTTAACCAGCTTAGTAATTCACTTACGTAATCCGGCACATGAACCAGTTACGTAATTTATAGATATCTAGATATATATGTAAATATATATATAGATATTTATTTGTTTATTTTATTTTTATTATTGATTTTCAAATTCGGCACATAAACCGACTTTGCTCAAGGTTCTTTTAGGCACTTAAACCAAAAGAAAACACTTGGTTGTATTCAGGTTGTTAAATTGAATCAAATGTTTATTAAAAATGTTGTGCTTTTATACAAAATTCTTAACACTAAGCTTATGGTAAAGGAGGAAATGCACCCAGTTCCCACGATTTGTTATCCGATGGACTTTGAACATTCAAGGCCAAGGGCATTCGTGGGAAATATGTGCATTACCTATGCTTATACTATTTAATGCAATCAGCAAGCTGATATATGTATTTTGCCATATATCAACCTGCTTCACAAATTTGGTGACTTAAATGTGTTATCACTGAAGCCATGCGCCAACTCATATTGCACCTGTGGGAACAACAGAATTGTCGCAGCGACTTGCCTATTGCTGCAACTCACAACGAACACACGATAAAAGAAAATGAACATAATGCTTATCAACCTTGCACAGTGGCGTGTGAAGATGATCATGTTACGTCTGGCACGCTGCTAGCGTGCGAATATTTAGTTGTGAGAGCCAGCAACATTGCTAAATGTTTGATAACACAAATAAACACCAACAACAAAAACAACATAAGAACTAATTTAGGTACTTATGTACACATATAATTAATGCACTAATAAAAATACAATTATAATAATTGACAATAATAATACAATAATAAGAAAACAATTATAATGATTGATACAATGATAATAGATTTAATATGAAACTTAACACCCGCAAATACTTTGCAGTGATCAAAAATTCACATACGCAGTTTTTAGCAGAAAAATTAATATATATTTACACATTTATTTATTTGACATTCAAATAATATTATAAGTATATCCTTCAAAGTCTAAAAATTGTTTTTGAATTAATGATAAATTTTATACTTTTAACTTAAGGAAGAGAAAAATAAGCCTGGGTTTTTCTGAAATCCAACGCATATGCACATATACATATATATACGACAATACTTCGGTAGATGGATACTATTTCTTTACTTTAAAATATTTTAATATAAGTAAGTATTATGCTTGAATTCTAAAAAAAAATCCGTTGGAGCTACTTACAAATATATTGAAAAATAAAGAATACGTAAATGAGTTGATAGTCGTCTGTCGGAGATATTGGGTTTACATAAATTTGCCTTCTAGCTTAAAACTATTCAATCCTTGTATACGAATGCTGTAATTTATGATCACATACGATCCATTTATCCACATACGAAGTGTTTGTTTTTCGATTTCCTTCTTCCACGACTTTAATTGCTGTTAATTGGAATTTAAGTCAGTGCTTTAATATATATTAAAGTTCAAACTTTTAGTGAAAATATAACATTACATTCAAAATTGTCAATTGTCGACATGCTATCCTTATTAAAAGTGCGATTAAGTCGACTAGCGCTGTTTTCAAGAGTTATAAGGTGCAAGTATAGAATAATACTCTATAGCCTACCACTATTAACATAGATGACATATGTATCGTCGTTCTTAGTTAGAGTAAAGGAACCAAATTATTTTAATTATATTGGTCACCGAAAAATCATTTCCAAGTTATTTTTTCTGAACATTATAAAAACTTACGTTTCCTTTTTTCGTCTTTAATTTTTTCGAAGAACCTCATATAACAAAAACTGGATAGCACACCTAAAATAATTTTACATTAAATAAATTTGTTTAGAGTCTTACAACATTCACATAGTCTTTAAATTTTCACTTAGAAAAGATATGACATAAAATATTAAAAACCAGAAACGTTGATCACCAAAAAACAAACAAAAAGTTTTCAGCAAAAATGGATTAAACTTGATCCCAATACCCTATGAATGCTAAGAGTAAATGATTACAAAACGAATTTATTTAGTAAAATGTAATGAATTCAGCTTGATTATTTGATTCTACTATGTCAATATGTCCACCCACTTACGCCCGCAATAACTCGATGTTCTTCCAAAACAATACCATTGAAATGAACCACGTTTTCCTTTCATGTGTAGTTTTGGAAAATATGAACAATAATCGATTTCTGCTTTTAATCAACTGCAATGATGTGATGTACTATACAAGAGTTCTAATTATTCTAAAATTGAATACACATATACACAAAGTATTTGAGAACGTGACATAAAAACATGATTTGTCAAAATGTCATTTCAAATCATTTTTATTATGTTTAAAAATATTTTTGAAATACAATTTTTTTCATTAATTTACATTATTAATGAAACTAGATTCATCATTCAGTAAATCAAATAAACGGCAGTTTATTAAAAATAATATCTAATAAGTGATTAGATTAGAACCCTATATATTTTAATTATTTTATTGAAAGACTATAAAATTATAAAAATTATACGCGCAGATGTTATATGTTATACATAAACATTTAATATATATGTCATATTTATAAAATCTATTCATTATTAATATTATTATTACTATTAAAAACAAAAGTTAAAAACCACTGCATGGGAAAGGCGGAACTACCTGACTGCATTTATGGCGAAAAAGACTATGATGATGCAGAGCACACGTTCTTTTACTATAATATATGGCTCACATTTAAGGAAGAGATAATAACATAAATAAAACCAATAAATCAAGAAAATATAGTGAAAAAAATGAGAGCGAACCCAGAGTGGTGGCGAACGATAAAGTCATATGTGATTCAAGTCTTAAAAGCGAAGAAATTAGACTCAGAAAGGAGAAGCAGAAACAAGGTTAAAAAATAGTGTAGACACTAAAAAAATAGAGTGGAAAAGAAGAGGTCTGGTCGCAGATCGAAAACTAAAATAGCATGACTTGAAATAACATAAAAGAGACCCTCCTCGAAGTAATACGAAAGCGGTTCCGAGGGCGATTAAAGTTACCCAAAAAGAGGGTATTCTAGTCCGTATACTATAGTACATATTATTGATATTAATGTTAGGAAGTCGGGCACACCATTCCGTTGGTAGCCTGTTTGATGGTGCATAAAATATTCCATCTTCACCCCATATACTCCACTAATATCAATTATGGTCGCAGTTTTCCGATACCTAAATTGGCACCTTATGATCTGTTGTGCCTTCTATTTGGCGTTAGAGTGATTTACTAAGCTTTATCTATTTAATGCATATTTCAATAAATAAATTCTATCTCAATTCGTCGCAAGTCTAAAAAATGGTTGACATTAAATTATTCGGTAATTCTTGTGAATAAACTCCAAGTTCTTGTTAAAAAAAATACTTTCCTCAATCGGAATTAATAATAATTGTAAACAAACTATATATTTAAATACTAATATAATTATAATTATTAATTCTAATAACTATTAGATAATAATAATATATATCGTAATATATATTAATTATTTAATATATATTAATAATATATATTAATATATTAATACTAACTAATAATAATATTAATATGTATTAATTTTATATATAATTATAATACATCACAGCAAAAGTTATTTTATTAATATATCAAAGCAAAAATTACAAGTGTATTTTAACTACGTCTATTTTTGGAAAAACTAAACGGAGAACAACTTAAATATATACCAAAGTTTTTGAACTGATCATATATCAGTAATTACCAATCTTCTCTTTCAGTAAAATAGCTTAGGGTTAACTTCAGTTTATATTCAACAAAAAATCATCCATAATACTCTACTTTCTGTAACATATATTCAGTTTCCGATACGTACCTCCATATCAGCTTGCAACTCTTCAATCCACCAAGTTCTCGGAGTGGTAGTTCTAGATTTAGTTTTTTGCATTCTTCTAACACTCAGTCTTACTGCTTTACTAAGATATTTGGATTTAACCACTTTTACATTATCTTCGTCTGCTGAGGGCCTTATAAGCTTATTAATCCTACTTGTAGTGTAGCTCCCGTGTTGTATTCTCACGTTTCCAGTCTTATGACTTAACTTTGAACTGACAAAATTTTTATGAACTTTTTTTATACTTTCAGTTCCCATCTATAAATAAAATAAATTTTAATAAAATTGGACAACAGTTTGGTGTTTTTATGAAAAGTAAACAAGGTTTAATGAATTTTGGCAATGAACACGGAGTGTGTAATCAATTATTTTGGAAATGTTTCAATGCTTTTCAATTACAAACTCAAACACTGGACCTTGGTATTCAATTAAAATTGAAAGCTTCGGTTTTTGTGGTTTTCCATTTCAGTTTTGGTAGTGGCGACATGGAAACTGTGCCGAAACATCAAGAATTTGTTTGTTTTGCAACTTTTTGAAAACTTTCACCAAAATTTGCTGATAGCTAAGAAATGACAAATAGAAATCAAGTGTACATCGGTAAATAAAAGTACTTAACCAAAGGAAATATATATTTTTAATTTCTTGTTTTACTTTAAAACCAAAAATTACCAAAACTTATGAATCACAAAATGAATCTACTCGTGGGAATACACATGTTATCTTTTCAGTAAGTTATGGTTCAAAGAGACATAACTATAGTTATCTCTAACCTATTAACATTTCCTATTAACATTATACATCGTAAATATTTACTTTGATTTTACTTTTTGTCGACGAAACTTTTTTCAAATTTCAAGTTATGAGTACGAGTTCAACCCTTGGTACTCGCAGTTCTAGAAACCCTTGGTACTGTATTTCTATATGGTCAGCCAAAAATTCAAATAATTAAAAATTATAAAATTTTGCTTACTTCTATTTCTTCGACTACTACCGCTAAGGAAATCAGATATCTTCCTATCGATGACAGATTTCAACTTCTTTGACGTATATGTACGAGTATAGTAAGCTGCAAGGGGATTGTATGCAAAATAAATGGAATTTACAGATCTTTCCTTTATAACATAGCAACCTTCTGGTTTTCTTTGAATGTAGTAGCTAGTGAGTTAGATCATCCCATAGTTATCTCTCTGATTGTATGTTCACAAAGTAACACTTCCGAAGTGTTTGAAGTATTTTAAACAATTTAAATTAAAAATATATTGTAGAAATGTTAATTAACAAGTTTTACCAAAATCAAGAGAAAATATTAACATAGCTTGGTCTTTGAAAAGCTATCACTCTTATATGACATCATTAAAATATTATGTATTTAAAGCCTATAAATTTGTTTAATTTCTAAACTTGCCTGCAACGTAAATAAAAAGCAGTCTCTAGTTTAGTTAATAAAAAGATATTTTTAAAAAAAAATTTCTGCGCTATTTTATAGCCGTAAATAGTAAGTTGACTGTAATCATGGGCGTAGACAGTGACTAAGTCAACGAGGAGGGACTACTAGTTGAAGATAAATATACTGTTCAATCAAAAATAAAGTTATTGCTATAAAAGAATTTAAAACTATTCTAATGGCATTATTAAAAAAATATTAAAAAATCATGAATTTGATTTCAATTGTTGTACACTATTGCCGCAAATACTCAATCTCACTGCTACGCCTTTGATACATAACATTTAAAGGGCTAAAATTTTAGTGGGGAAGCGCTATGCGATATATTTCCCTTTTGGCTAGGTCGAAGTCTACAGTAACGATTATACTCACTATTTTAATATTTTCTTTATGATTCATTTAAAAGCTCCACTTCCATAAAAGTGCAATCAAATATCTTGAGTGCCCATTCCTGCTACAGTTCCGGCCAATGTGATAAACTGAGCTATTAAAAACAAAATAAAAAGTTTTAATGAAAAAAAAAGACAAGAAATGAAACAAAAATAAATTTAAGTTCATAGGGTTTAAACATTTTTTTTGAAAAATAAAACTATTAATAATAAGATAAAAAATAATAAGGAAAAATAAATTCAAGTTCATAGAACTTCAATATTTTTTCAGAGAAATAAATATTAATAATAAGATAAAAAAAAATAATAAAAAATTTAAGTTAATAGCACTTGAACTTTTTTTCAGAAAAATAAAACTATTAATAATAAGATAAGAAAAAAATAAAAAAAATAGATTTAATTTAACAGAATTAGATTTAAAATAAAATAAATAAAACAATTAAAAATAATTTTAAGGTTGTATATAAGCATATTAAAAATACAATATTTAAATTGTAAATAAGATAAATACAAATCAATTGAAACGAAATAATTTGTATTACAAATTTTCTATTTTATCTATATATATATAATATATTCAAGAATTTAAAAATACCGTATGAATTAAAAAGCTTTCTTTTTATTTTTAGGTAAGTGTTGTGTCAACTCTCTATAATGAATTTTCTCTGACGGTAATTGTTATAATATATTGCAAATAAATAATTTTATTTTTTATTTTTTATATTTTTCTTTTAAAAGAAATTTATTTATTATTAACTCCAACTAAAAATTCAACTAATTATTAATTAATAATTAGTTTTTTTATTTTGTTTTACTTCTATTAAAAAATGCCTATCTATTGAAGACAATAGTTTTTATTAAGAATTTAGTTTCTTCCGCCGGAATGGACGTTAAAAATGCATTTAATATTATCTGTTAATTTTTCTGTAATATCAATTAATATATTTATAAATTTTATAAACTTCATAAACCTTACTCAACTTGTTTTATATTATTACTAAGCATCAAACTAACATTTTTATTGATTATTTTAAAATAAAAAATATTTGAAAAAGAAAGAAGCTGTTTATAAACTGCTCTGTTATTAAAATAATTCAATATATGAAAATATAAATAAATAAATATTTTAAAATTTAATTATTACTCTCATTAAATTAGATTTTTTTTATTAAAACTTAAAATTTGTTAGATGATAATTAATGCTTTTAGTTAGCATAAATGTGATATTGTGATGTTTGATATTTTACTTATAAAAACCTTACTAAGGTTATGTTACAGTGGTAGAGTTCTAGTAATTCATTTTTAATATTGATATATAATTTTGTTATCTTTATTTTATTCATACTATCCATTACGCTTTTAAAGAGGATTTTATTTAAAACATATATAATTGTTGATATGGATGTTTGTTTTATAAATGAAACAGATTTTGACCTCATTACGTCCTAATTGGCTAAAATTTATTTTATGTATATAAACTTATAAGATTATCATGTTATTTCCTATATCTAACGTGTAGCACAAAAGATCAATCATGGTCGCAGTGCTCTGCTCAAATGGGAGCTAGTACCCTGTTATTTCCTATCCTTACCATGGAGCCATATCTCAGGCTCTGTTAATAACAGAGACTTTAAATTTTTTTATATAATGATAACTGCTCAAATATTTTGTAAACAATATAAACAATCAAAATTATTTATATTAAAGCCTTAATATTAGCAATAATTTTTTAAGAAGAAATAATTTCGAAAATTTGGATTCCTTCCGAAATTTTATTATAAAACTGAAACTTTAGGGTTGAGATTATTTCTAGAATTATTTTTAATATTTTGATTTAGAGTGTAATTCATATTATCAAAAAAAAAATTATGAATTTAATATAAGACGGTTTTTTACGTCAACTGTAAAAAAATTAAAGAAAATATACAGATTATTTTTGAACTAAATTAAAATGAATTATTTATATTAAATTACATCCAATTTTAACAAAAAAAAAATAAATAAGATATATATTTTTCTTATAAATTTTATGAATTCATGTGTACATATATACATACATAAACAAAGATTATTTTCTACATATATGTAAATTTTCATATATGTAAGCGCCCCTCTATTTAAAATCTTATACTTCAAGCACTATAAAATAATCTTTTTTTGCATACTGGAGGGTTCTTTCTTTTTTAATCAGTAAATAAAATGTTTGATTTTATTTTCTGTGTTCTATCGTCACGTAGATATTTTTTTATTCATGTCTATTTGAGGACTGTGACACATGTTATGATAATGACATATTGCACGTGGCATAGGATTCTTATCAGAATATTTTATTCAGTACATTTTTTAATAGGTCAGATAGTAAGCACCTGATTTAATTTTAACAAAAATCGATTATTTAAAGCACATTGCATAACTACTCAGGAGAGGAATAATAAATTAATATATTTGAAAAGCTTTAAATTATAATAAATAATATATTTTTAAGTAATTACTTTTCGCATTCCATGATGCTGAAAGGACAGTAATAAACCATGTAGTATTAACAGAGACTTTCTAAATAATTTTTAGCACTTGATTTTATTATATGTTGACCTTACTCATCGTAAAATTACTTATAAGTTGCAAGTGACTTCTGCATATTACAACTTAATAATGATCTTCAAAGGAACATAAGAAGGCAGCCTTAGAGATTCATTCGTAAATAAAATATCTAGTTATTCATTAAGGTTCCTATGATGTGGAAACCAGATGGGTGTTATGATGGCGACTAGATTTCAACATATAATTTTCTTTACAAAATTCCTCTAACAAACTAACAAAATTATCAACTTAATTTAACTAGTATTGGTTAGAACATATATTTTTTAGTGTAGATATTAAAAAAATAATGATAATCTTACATAAATCCTTGACATAGTTCACAACCCACAAGCGAGATATCACAGTTTACTTGTAAGTTCCTCTTCTTCACTCCTTTCCAAATAGTGAGAACTTATAAGGTCTGTAAAGAAAAGTCTCCAATAAGAATGATTTAATCATAAAAAAGGTTCACTAAAATCTCATAATAATATCAAAATCAAACATTGCATATTATTATTGTTTGTCCGAAACCTCCAGCTGCGTTAATGAAACTGTAGCTGGACATCGAAACTGGACACCGATATGCCCTCACAACTACACACATGGTTGTGTGACCATGCCCCCGGAATATTGTTTAATAACAATACCCGGCCACAGTGATGATTAGTCACTGGCAAAAAAAACGTATGCAATACTTAGCCCTAACACTTTTCTCTTCCTTTTGATGGAAAACTACACTAAATAAAAACAAACAAATTAATCCAACTGGTTTAAAATTCAAAACACATAAAGAACTATTAACAATAAATAATAATTACAAAATAAATAATATGTAAATAAATAATAATCACAAAATACATAAAAAATAATAATACTCAAAAATATAGAAAAAAAAATAGGAAATATAAAAATAAAGAATGAAAATATATAATAAAAAATAAAGAATAAAAAACAAATAAATAAATAAACACATAAATAATTAAATAAAAATAAATGAATCAATGAATAAATGAATGAATAAATACATAAAAATATTTAAATAAATATACTGAATAATCAATGAATAAATAAATAAATACTTAAAAAAATATAAAAAATAAAATAAGTAAAAAATAGTCGCAAAAATATAATAAAGTAAATAAATAAAATAAAACTAAAAAAATTAGTCATAAAATAAATAGAAGTCTTAAGTATTATAATTGTGGGAAGTTCTAATAAATGTCATGAAATATAGAAAAGCTTGGCTGGTTGCAATGCTATTAAAATTTTCAAATGATGGTTATCACTAGAACATTTTAAATCAATTAACTATTACTTTAAACTTAGAATATATATTTCTGAAGGTTAGTTGTAGTTTGATAAGTAAAAGCAATAGCTTTAATTTTCCCACACAAACAAGTAACAGTAACCACAGATCCCATTACTATTCTTAGAATTATAATGTGTAATTGTGTAGTTAATGCACACACGGCTTTAATGTGTAGCAATCTAATAAATAGATGGAAATAACCAAATCGAGAGTACCAAACTATTTCATATTCTTCAAAACCGCAACCGAGCCTGAAGCAAAGTCCTTAATAGACCTTTAAAGTAAAGTTTCCATATCCATATAAATGACTACTATGAGATTGTAAACAATTTTCACGCATCAATCAGCACGCTTCATTCTGGGAAGGAGTGTGTTGTATCCTAAACTTTATCCATTGAAATCACTTTAAGCAAACAAATTAAATCTTAAATCATTTCGTGAATATCGCGTAAATCGAAATGCAAATTTAATTTGCTGTGCATATTAGAGAGGCTTGCGTACTGGCGAACGGTGGGCGCTGAACTCCATGGCAAGTGCGTACGATTAATAAAAATGTAAAACACGTAGACAAAAGTACACAACCACCTATTAACGCCTTAAAAGAAGCCACAAACTTCTGCATTGTCATGCCGTAATTTCCAAAATGTTTGCCTCACCACTCACCATATCCACACAATTGAATGTAATTCGCATATTAAATATTGTTTAAAAATATTTTCGCTTTGTTTAAAGTACCGTCGAGCACCTACACTCCAGTAGGTTCACAGTAGTCTCTGAGTGGTGAAATGAGACCAGACTTATATGTCGATACCTATACCGACACAAACGAAGGGAGTTACTGGTGAAATTACGTGAACATATTGTATTAATAAAAAGTAAAATTATTTTCTGTATGGAAGTCATAACTTATTTAGGTCACACATACGCTATGTGGTACCCTGAAAGTATGCCACATTTTGACACAAAAGCGGAATTCGGTATCCTGTCTTGTTAGTCGATGGAGCAACTTTTGCGGTTTTTGGTTTGGTTTTATACACTGAATACTCGCAAACTCGCAAACTCGCAAACAAAAATTTAATAAATCTTGCGTTTGGCGTATATCCTGCATGTAACTCGATACATTGTTGATATCCTCGTCGGTGTCCTCGTCCTCGTCGTTATTGTTATTGTTGCTGTTGCTGTTGCTGTTGGTGGTGGTGCTGGTGATTTTGCTCCTTTTTTGTTGTTGTTATTTTGGATAACAAGTGGGTGCGCACTTTTCATTCTAAACAACTTTAACAACTTCGGTTTCGAACAAGAGAATATTTTTCATTGTTTTCCGTTTGGTTTTTGTTCAAATTTTGATTTTGTATACAAATTGCTGACTTAAGCGTTATTATGCGAATTTTTTTTTTTTTTTGTAGATTTGTTTTCATTTTGTCCGCATTCCTTGAATTTAATATGTCGCAATGAAGTGAAATGAACAGAGAAAGGAGAAAAATATGTAAATTTACAAGCAATGAAAAATATTTCATATCTATGTCCCGAGTAAGGACTTTAAGTAATTGTTTGTGTCAATGTTAAAATGTCCTGACTTCTTTCTATTATTTTTATTACGTTCTTAACATTTTCATTGTCATTGCCATGGCTTTTGCTAGTAATACCGTTGACGTTGTTCGCATTTCAATTGAAGTCACTGTTCAAATAAATTTTTTTCTTCATTTTTACTTTCGTTACAAATGATAATACGTGTAATGTAGGTAATTTATGTAAGTATATTGTAATAAAGTTCATCTCTAAATCATACATTAATAATCATATTAGCAAAGCTGAAATTTGTGAAGGATACCCGTTATTGTTATATTTTTTCGTATTATGAATATTAAATTATTTGAATAACAAAAGTTCTTCCTTTCTCGATAATATGTGTTAGCACTTAAACAGAAAATTTGATCTTCTATGAATACTCGTTACCCATTCTGTATGTCCTGATTTATTGGCAACACTATTTTAGTGACTTAAGTCAAACAGAACTATCATTCAATGCATTATATATCGGATTATGTTAAGTGTATCATTTTACAAAATTATGGGAAATTGTTAGAGTATTGGTTATGCTAAAGTAGGTATATTTTGTAATCAACAAAAAAATAATATCGGACTTACAGAGAAAACTATGCAGAAAGTTTAAGAGTTTAGAGATTGGATCCATAAGATATACGCTTTGGCCTATTAGTGAAATCTCAAAGTACAAGTTAAAGTAACTCTGATACAGAAACTTTAAACTTCATTTTTTTATTAATTTAATTTAATCTTAATATTAAATACTCGTAAGCCTTTTGATAATTCGAATTATAGAAGAATATACATTTTATTCATAACAGTACTATTATTCAATTCATAATATGTTGACATTGTGTTACTTATCTCATAGCATTATCTAGGACTGGGTTACATATAAATTTTTCAAACGCAAATGTTTACCTCTAACCGAAGTCTAACTTAAAGTTTCATTAACTTTATCTCTTTATATTGTCACCGATTACTTCAAATCTTAACCTATTATTATTAACTAAGATTAAGTAAGCTTAGTTAAGTAATCGCTTTGTGTATAATTGTAGTATCGTCAGTAGACATTAAAAAGTAACTATTTGAATATATAAAATAAATATAATATATTTATTGTTTATTATATAATAATTTATTTATTTATAATAATTTATTTAACTAATTTAATGTAAACCAAAAAATTTTTTTAATAATTATTTTTTTTTTGCGGGCTAATTAGTCAATAGTTAAATAATAAACTTTTTAAAAAAATTTTATTTGTAAAAGATTTTATTTTAACCGATATTTCGACTATAATCTACAGTCATTATTAGGGTACCCTGATGTAGTACCCTGCTGTAGTACCCTGCTGTAGTACTTGGTATGATTATAGATTATAGTCGAATTATCGGTTAAAATAAAATTTTTTAAAAACAAATAAAAATTTTTTAAAAAGTTTATTATTTAATTATAAATCAATTACACCGTAAAAAAATAAAATTATTATTAAAATAAATATAGATTATTTTTAAAATAATAATTAATTATATATTAAAATATTATAAAAAATAAATAAATTATATATTAAGACGAATTAAGAGCAGTACTTTGTGGAACTCCCACTTGTATCTTAAAGTACTTAAAGTCAAATTTGACGAAATGTAACAAATTTCTTTGCTATATATAAATATACGAATTAAATGATAATGAAAGTAAATAAGATTTGTATAAATGGTGAAGATTTTTTAAAAGTGTATTAGTTTGTATAACAGAACTTTATCTCATACTTTATCAAAGGCTTTTATTTCAATGTCAAGAAATATTGCAGTGTAAGAATACACTGGTAGGATATACGACTAGGTTAAGATCTTGTGTGAGCCTGTGGAGATTCTGCTACTTGTTCGATTATTATATGGTTTCCTGAAAAAAAAATTTATGTCCTGAAATATTTTATGATGAAGACCTAAGCGCACCGCACCAAGAAAAAATCTCCTAACGTCTTGATGTCAGTGGCAAAAAAACTTGACACTCCAGACCTGTATAGAAGTAGAGTGATAATTGTTTGACGCACCATTTTTTATTGCCGAAAGCGTACCGGAGGCAATACCATTGAGTTCGCTTTCCACATATCTCTTACCTCTACTAATCGATAGTATTATCATGTTTTGAATTACATCCGAAATGACTTTAGTTACAGTAAAACACTTTATTATTTGAAGTAATAAATCGTATGGTTCGAAAACTCATTTTAAGTTTAACAAAAAATAAAAGCGACGGTCAATGCTTTCAGCTTTTACGAAAATATAATAAATTATTTTTTATCTGTCAGAGTGAAAGAAACTATGGCAACACTTTCTTATTATCAAATGCACTGACGTTTACAAATAATGCAGAATATGCTTACTAGATGTCTATCAGTCAGGTTGAAATTTTTAAAGTTTCCTTTCAATCAAACAGAAAAAAATCTAGTTTTCATTTATTATTTAAAAAAAATTTTTTTTTATATATATCAAAAAAATATATAAATTTTGTTTTCAACTGATCGTTTACAAAATTATTCAGCTGCTTTTAAACGAGTTTAGTCTAGAGAGTTCTACCTGGGATAAGAATATTTGTAGTGTCTTTAAGAAGTTGTTCGTTGAGTAAGTTTTACTTGCATCGAAGTAATTCGTTGTTTTGATAATTTAACCAATTATGTGATTTCAGACTATTATATCACATAATAATATCAAATATTTTTATATTTCAGCTATAAACCATATTACCGTGAAGTTTTGTAACCTCCGCACATAGATATATTAATATCTCATACTAAAATACTAAAACCATGTATCTCAAGTCACTTTATTTTTATACCGCTGATAAAAAAATCATCCACTGTTATTTTAACCATTTCAAGTACTCTACCGTTATAAACCAATTGGTTCATGCCAATTTTCAACGTGGATGTGATTATATAGAAATTAATGTCAACTGGCTTACCTCATATACTATGAATTCCATCAAGCTATGGTGTACTCAGCATCGTTTAGACATCAAAAATAATATCCATACTTATTCTATACCAGCTTGGGACTATAGTTTCTTTGATGTTGACATATCAGTTTTAGAAAATATAATGTTTGGAGCTTACCATTTGGGACTCGAACACATGTTATGTATGGCAATTAAATATATTATATTTAAGAGAACCAGCTTACGTTACCAATTGCCTTTCAATACATCAACGATGAACTATGAACACCACTTCCAACTTCTCAATAATGAAAAATGTCAATGGAAAAAAAACTACCAAAAATACCAGGATTTGTCTAAGTTATTGGAAAAAATATTGGCTTTTCCAATGTCTGATGAATTGAAAACTGTTTGCCAAATTCTACTCAAGTTCGAGTAAGAACCAACAGTAATCATCATCAATTCAATTACAGTAATTACTAATAAATGATAGTAAGTTAGAATTTTTGAAAATCCAGATCTCTTTCTAAAGGCAACAAACTTCTTGTTATAATATTATTATTTTTATTTCTATAGCACTGGTGCCGTGTTTTATACTTTAAGTACATAACGTCAAAAATTTTCGAGTACAAGATTTTGTGAATAATGTGAATTTACTCCCCGGCAAGAACACATGCAAAAATCAACACATATATATTATATATATATATATCAATATGTTTTACGGATAAAAATGTTTATGTATAGAAAGTGAATAATAAGGTAAAACAAATAAAAGTAATAAGGTAAGCAAAAAAAAATGTTTATATATATATATATTAAAATACATATATATATACATATATATTATTTTCTCGAGGCTAGTTGAGTCCGTGCAGTTAAACACTTTAACTCTCTCTTAACTGCGACGTTTCTTCATAACCTCTTTCTACGCCTTGACTGAACTATTATTTATCACTTTATTAGACTAAGCAAAAACTGTCCTCAGATCTGAATCATCTTCTTAAAACTTAAGTTATTAAACTTTGCATAAGACAAACAGAAACAATAGTCTTAAAGTAAAAGTACAATGGATAATAAATAGTGCTTCTTCAAACCTGCTAATAAAAACTACGCTACCACAAAGCATTTCATCAACATTTACTATCATCGCCTACATTATATAGTATATATGTCATAGACCGTATCAAAGTGACTTTATAGTGTAAAGTATGGGTGCAGCATTGCGATCCTTCTCAAAAATGTCTTCGAAGTAACAATTAGTAAAGAAAATAGGACCCATGAAGAGTCTCTGTTCCTTTTATTGCTTCATGCATTGAAGTAAAATTTTTCTTGCACCCCCTTTTCCATTTTTTATCCATTTATTATTCATTTCTTATGCGTTTCAAAGAGAACAAGACTCTAAGTTTTTTCATATATTGAAAGGAATACATGCATATAAAACCACTTCAATTCTTTTTATTAAAACAATCAATTATGAAAAATTATATAAAATTATAAATAAAATTATTTTTATTCAAAGTTTTAATAAAAAATTTTTTTAACTGATTTTTAGATGTCAGAACTATTTTATTGGGAACAAAATTAATTTGGACTTCGTACTTGATAATAACCAATAAATTTAAGGAGCACGACATTTTAATTAAATAATGTTATATTATTTAATATAATTAAATAATAATATATTGAAACAAAAAAAATGTTAAAAAAAATAAAATTTTTTTATCTTAAAAGATAAAAAGTAATTGGCTTTTGAATTAATCTTTAATAAGAAGTTAGTACTATCTATGATACTTTTATTTTTATTCCCTAAAATCTTTTTTCTTAATATTTATTTAATTTTAACAATATTATTAAATAAAGATTTGTTATCAGCAATATTACAATATATAATAATATATATATCTTATCACTTTTACTTAACTTTTACTTTACTATCTCTAAATACCATTGATTATAATCGTTCTGTTTGGAGTATAAACAAATCGTTATATTCCGAGTATAAGAAACCCAAAAGTTACTGAACAGCTGCCCTCAGAATCGAAACTTTACTTTAGTGTATATTGTATTGAAATATTTAAAGCTGTTGTTAGATGCCAGTAATTTAAAAATGATTACAATCTTAGAAACATTCGTGAGAGACTGCCTGAGAAATTATAAAAATTAAAAATTCTGGATGTAGTTTCTGAAATAGTTTCATAAAAGTTGACTGTTCCAAACAATTTTATGGTAACAATTTTCTAAAACTATCTATTTATGAACAAAGTCTTTTTATTTGATTTACAGTTTTAGATACCATAGTATCCATAGTAAACGGTTTCTTAAGTAGTTTGATTTAAATAGTAGATATAAATTTGAGAGATAGTTTTTTATATAAGGAAAACTTCAAACATCATTTTCAAAACCAAACAATGTAGACATTAAAAATGTTTTTATTATATATTGCTCTTACTTTTGGATATTTTTTTGTTATCAATCAAAAACTCTCCACTGAGTTAATTTTAATTTAATTATTTTCTGTTAGAAAGCGCTTATAATACATAATTTATGCATACATAAAGTTCACAAATTACAAGTTGAATCGTATACCATAAGCCAAAGATATATATTTTAGTGTGCCGCATATATTAAAGATAGCCACCAAAGTGCCAGCTACAGCAGTTAGAAAGTATGCCCTTATAATACATCACTCATGCATACAAAAAATCCATAAATTACAAGTTAAATCGTATACCATAAACCAAAGATACATATTTTGGTATGCTATATATATTAAAGATAGCCACCAAAGTGCCAGCTACAGCATTAAAAAAAATCCGACATATCAAAAAAAATGTGAATAAAGTTGCACTAAAAACGAATTAATAATTTCACAAAAAATTTGTGAGAAAAACTTTTGTACAAACATTTTTAATGTTAAAAAAAGTTAAATGGAATGGGAACTGTGAGGGAAAAGTAATCATTATTCCATATATTCACATAAGTGGTTTACAGTGGTTTACAGTGGTTTACAGTTTCAACTAATAACCGAACTATGCTATCTTGATCCTTTTAAAAAAATATTGTCAAACATGTTTTTGCATAAATGGTTTGTTTTTTTGCTAACACTACGATTTCAGCCTTCTTCCTAGAGGTTTCTTACGAAATGCTGCTCAACAGTGCTAGCGTGCAGAGAGTGTAAAGAGTGTAGCAGGAAGAAGTCAGCAGACTCGTTTTTAAAAAACTCACACAAAAGCATGCGTTCATTTATATTCGCGGCAATAAACACATGCAAAGTAGGCAATCAACAGTAATGCAAGCAAATTATGCAAATGAGGCAACACAACAAAAACAAAAAAAAAGGGGACGGCGGGGTAGAGAAAAAATTTAAATTGCAAACTGCGAACTGCAAACTACAGTGGCATGAAATTGATTACTAGGCATTTTGCAAGCGTTATCAGTGCAGACACACTGCATATACACACCAACACCAACACTAGCAAAAACACATATTAACAGGCATTTGAGCAGTTTTGCATATATGAGTAGAAAGTCACTCAAGGGCGCATACAAAGTAAACACAAATGCCATTTGTGCCGTAAACATGACCCAATCAACTCATGTTCACAAACGCTCACATGCACGCACATACATTTGTGACGTCACAATGTGCAATCTCACTAAATGCGAGCATTGTAATTTGTGTGGCAGTCGCACTAATAAAAAAATTATTTAAATAAATATTACAATTCAGTTTACGTGGCGTATGATGAATTATTTGCTTTTGTGTTTTAAATGAGATGCAAGCGTTGCATGGGATTGCATATGTAATGTTTCATTATACAAAAGAAAATAATTAATATATATATTTTTTCGTGAATAAATATATATATAATTAACATATAAATATTAAAATATATCACAATTTTTTATAATGTCTAAACTAGTATTTTTTATTACAATATTATTTAAATTGGGGCTATCCAAAACTCGGCCCAGGGGCCACATGCAGTTCCCGACTAATATATATGCGGCCGGCAACATGTTTCTAATCTACCACAAATACGCAAATTTCCTTTGATATATTTTGATAAAATCACATTGTCATATTTTTATGGTATCCCAAAAAACTGAATTCAAATGAATAATTATCACCGTATTTTTTCTTCTTCAAAAAAAAGGAACATGGTATATATTATATGGTACATATATATATATATATATATATATGGTACATGGTGTATATTTGTTTCTGCGGCCCTCCCATTTAAGTGGTATCTGGCCCTGATTTAAACCATTAATAACTAATATCTATTTTTAAGAACTATTTCAAAAAGATTTTATAAAAAAATTTTATTTTTTACTTTTTAGATATATATTAAAATCAGGTACATGTAGGCTTATGCAGAATATGCTAAGCTAAGAATTAAGTGATTATATATACAATTTTATTTTGTGGGAATTTAATCAATTCATTCATATTTTGAAAGATAAAAAAACTAGAAAAAGACAAGTTCGTAGTAATGTTTCACATATATTAAAATAAAATAAATTGTGCTTACTCTGCATTCAGTTTTATTGAAATAGAATTTATACTAATTGAGAATTGTAAATCATAAGCACATTAAAAATGTAGTGGATATATTACATGTGTATAAAATATATTTTGAGAAAAATTTTTGTTTTCTTTATATTTATTCTATTGACAAAAAAGAGTCTTTTTGGAAAACATATTATTTTTAACTAATAATTATTATTCGCTTTATAAATTTTAAATAAAATATATACCATACAATCATATAATACTTCACAACTATATCTTCAGTTGATACTTTTTATTTTCACAAGATTCAAATAATAGCAACGGATTTTACTAATAAATGAAAATATTTAATATATATTCTATTTTATAATATTATAAATAGGTTTTAGAAAAACTAAAATGTGTTAAGTTCAATTTAAGTCTATGGAGTATACTTGTTGGGGAAAGAATATTGTTGGTTTGTTGGTTGATATATCTTTCATTATTTGTCTGGTTTTGATGAAAAATTTCATGCATGCTGTAAATGTAAGTAGAAGAAAGTTGAGTAAACAGACAATAGTTTTCTAAATTTTAGGGAATGCTTTCTAAATTTGTGATGTACACGTTGACCTGAAACATTTTAAACACTGTTGATAATGGAATACTATACCAGAATAATATTAAAGCTGCAATTAAACATTTGACTAAAGAAAGGAAGAAGAGAAATGATTTCAAAACATTTAACACTTTTTTATGAAAAACATATATAAAATATTTAGAACTTTAATAAACATAATTTCTTGATATTGCTATCCGTTAGATATTTCTAAATGAGTTCGCACAATTGTTAATTTAAAAAACTTTTACTTAAATTAATATGATTACCAACAAATAAAAAAAATTATATTTTACAATTATTAAAAAATATTTCCATTAAAAAATAGAAACGTCTTTCCGACATACTCTACCGATCGGTAAATTATTTTATAGCCTTGATTCTAAAGATCAACTATGTTTACATTTTAAAACAACAGAAGTAATTTTTTTTAAATTTTCATAAGAAAATCATATACTTCTTCGGGTCAGTTACCCCTAATCAACACTGACCCTAAGTTTCAAATCTGAATGGATATAAGCTCAATACGTGCTACTTGCAGTGTAAAAAACTATTTTCGAAAAATTATATACTAGATATATTTCAGTAAAGGCCACTCATGCTAAGTATTCAATGTAAGGTCAGCCAAAACTTTAATTAATTAAAAATGAAATTTGGGGTTTGTAGTTCAGTAGTATTTAAAATCTATTATATTTTAAGAGAACTTTATGTGGCTCTGCTAAACCGGAATTACATTCTCATAGAACTTATAGTGTTAGCTGGTAGTTTTATTCAGTTGTGGTAAGGTTTTTATGAAATCAGTGCTTTACTTAACGCTAAATTATTTTCCTCATAAATTAGTACATAAATATATTATGTACTATTATTAATGAAATTTTTACAGCAAACATATTTCCAACATTTAGCCTAAGAAAGTTCTGGTTTTAAACAATTTAACTGCTTTCTATATATTCTATAAAAAATTCAATAATATCTCTATTGATAATAAAAAAAATTGAAATAAATCGGAATATAACCCAATATATCTTTTACCAATTTTTTTCACAACATAATCGACATTCAAGAAAATAAAAAATCTATACAATTTGTACTTGTGTAAAAAACCCAATCTTTATTTACTTATACTGAGAGGAATGAATACTGCAATAATTTTTCTATTTTAATTAAATTATTTTAAAGCTTAATTGAAATTATAAGTAAAATCTTTCAAATAAATTAAATTTGTTGTCCGTAAATTATTTTATTTTAATTTTTTTAGTAAATTTAATCAATAAAATCATAAAAGTCAGAAAAGCGTTCGGCCATTTTACGTTCTCTAATGGCTTCGACTTTAAGTTTGAACAATAAATTTTTCCAGCGTCGACTTTTTTCACTTAAATCATCGCCTTCCTGATCATCACCATCGTAAAAATAATAGTCGTGTCCTACATCTGCATTATTGGCACTACTATTTTCAATACCATGGTAAGCTTTATAAACATCTGAGTGACGATATTCATTAAGAGCATCATTATACTTATCAGTTTCGCTTCTATAATGATTAAAGCAATTACTTCTTAAATAGTGATGATCAACAAACAAGGAAGCTGATTCAGGTAAATCGTAACCATAATAACTATATTCGTTACTTCTACCATGGCTTTCTTCGTCTTTAACGTTACAGTCAGGAGCCTTTCCTTTGCTATGGCATGGTTTTTCAGAACAGCTGTATGTGCAATTTGGCACTTCTGCTCCTGTAAACGCGTCCAAATTTTGTTTATATCGTTTACGAAGTTTTTGAAAGCTGTCCATATTAGGGAAATCATTTTTGGTAATATTTCTTGGAATTTTTTTTCTGGCCCCACCAATATATTGTGAGTTCGTAGTACTTGACATAGCCACATTTGAATCAACTATAATAGGAAGAGTATTTGCCTCCTCAATTATCTCCATGCAATCGTCAGCATCTTTATCTGTGGCACCAGCTTCAAGTCTTTTCAATGGATTTTTTTGAAATTCCAACAATATTTCAAGATTCTCTTCACCATTTAAATGAGAACTTTTTAATTTCACAACCATATCTTCTTTTTTTATTTTGTCGTGGTTTTTGATATACTTTTCCTCAAAGCTTAATTTTGACAGTAACTGTTCTACGGTTGGTGATTGTATGGCGTCACGTAGCATCAAGCAGAGAAACGTCTCCACGTTGATGACGAATGTGAATGTCTTCTCATTTCCTCTATTTTGAGCTTTCGTTGCTGCCAATCTGTTAACCAATGCCTTCAAAACACTTAGTGATTTCGAATAATTATTAAGTAAGAGATCACGGAAAATTGAATATTTTCCTATCGTATGTGAATCAACTGCACTTTTAGGTATGATCATAATCGCTTTTGCCAAGGAAGAATTTTGCTGTTTCATTGAGGCCATAATCAATAAAGAAAGTTAAAGCTTTGGAGGCAAGGGATTTCAAATGTAGTAATTTTAGGAAATAATGGGGTTTACCACAGAACCTTAAAATAAAAGGAATTTCAAAAAACTTTCATTAATTTTGTATATTGTATGTATTTATATACAGATTTCCTAACCAATAAAAATTTATAAATAAATTGTATTAATAAATATTTCTGACTTTAAACCATAATGACTTTTAAATTTTTCGAAATACTGAATCCAGTATTTCTTAAACTCACAATTACCGCAGAAGAATTTGCTTTTGCTCTATAAAGAAATTGGAGAGTAATAGAACTTGAATGCAGCAGTAGTGGCACCACAAATGGTTTCAAATGATGATCGCTTTTCGTTCTTGTTTTTCAATAGACGCAACAGAGTAAATGCGAATGTATATGGAAAGAAATTGAAAAGGTGGAGTTGTCTAAAGTCATGAGCAAACCAGATATTTCGGTGAGAGAGTAAATGTTTCAGCAAGATTGTACATATAAAGCAAATATCTACCGACAGTGGTTTAGAGTAAACGTTCCACACCTGATTTTGACTGCACAGTGTCATCCACGGTTAATAAATACAAATCAACCCAACTCCTCTGAAGAGTCCATAGTACAGGACAAAGCTACGGTCAGTGATAAAATTTATAGTTTTAGAAAAACAAAAAATCGAGGCAAAATTAGTAAGTTTAACATCCACTGAATCCTTCAACTTTCGAGACCATCGTTTTTAATTCGAATCATCTAATTAATTGTTAAGCACCCTTCTAAACATGGAAACAAATAACTAAACTAGACGATAAACGATAATAGCAACTGCTCAAATTACTATGTCCGACTAAGTTGACTTATTTCTTTTTGAAAACTTAAGATATAGCTTTTTTATAAAATACAATAAAACAGAATACAATTTATTTATTTATACCATGAGCATAGTCAAATGCGCCCTCCACCATTGTCTTCTGAAGAAATATTCAATGGTCATGACGATGTTTTGCATGATATTTTATAATGAAAAGAAAGGCAATGGATGAATGGTCCACCTAATGTAATAGATCGTCTGTAAGGTGAGATGTTTATAAGCAGGCTGTTATTGCACAGCAATTTAAATGAGATTTTAATCAACTTTTATTTTTCTTTCTTAATTCTTTTAAAGCGAATTACTTTCAATAGCTCCCCTGTCTCGCTTTTTGACGACGTCCATGTTATGAATCTGTTGTTACTAAATACAATTTATATAAAAACTAAGGTTTTATAAGTTAAAATTTTTTGATATAATTTACTTGTGCAAGTTTTAATGAATATGAAGACTCTAGATTTTTTAAAAAAATTATATAAAAAGATTTGCATTTTAGGTTTCAATATTCTTATCTTTATCAAATCTGTCAATAAATATTTGATTCCACATTAATATTAAATTTTGAAAATATTATTAAATAATAAAGAAATTACTAATTGTGGTACTTACAATCAACGTATTTCAGCTAGACACTAATTAAAGGAATTAAAGTTGATCGTAGATATTTTAGTTTGACTCTACGATCTTCTGCGCTTCCAAAAAATGACTTATATTAATGACGCATTCTGACTTCAACGGACGGATTTGGTAAACTTATCTACTACAGAAAATTTTTATTTATGAAACATAAAGTTTACTTTAATTCGTTAATAAAATTTTTTATTTTTGGTAATTCAAAGCCTACTAAATTTGTTTGTTGGTTCCTATTTCATACCAGTATAATAGACATATAAAAAAAGTTTGTTATTTATATACTATAAGCATATTAATTTTCCATTTTAAAGATTAGATTCTTCATAAATAAACTCTTAAGATAAACTAAATCCATCCATTCGATTCTCTGACTATTTCAACAGATTGTTTGTGTTTACTGATGTTTTACAGTCTGAGAGACTGTCAGGGAAGTACTCCACTAAAAATCAATTTCTCTTCTTGCCAAAGCTGGAGAGTCACAATTAAAATGCGTGATTAACTCCTGTTCGCCTTTCCGATGTTACCACATTAAGTGTTGAATAAAAAGAGCATTTTTCCTTCAAACCTTTCTATACACTAGTGTTCGAAAAGAGCTGTCATTTGCCAGGCAGTATAGACTCAATCAGTACTAATAACTCCTCAAGATATTGTGTCTTATTGTATGAAAGTCAGTTCAATTGAAATAGTTTATATTTATAAATGACTTTTAAATAATATCACAAAGAATTGAGGATTTATTAACTGGGACCAAATCGATACTACGTAACTAATTATTAACTAAGTTAGCTATTATTAGCTAACTTCTCTTAGTGGAATTAGCTGTGTTCAGGGGAACATATACGCATGAAAACGTTCTGAATGATCTGCTTTTTTAATCTCTTCAACGTACTTATGGCCGGAAACGTATATGAGAGTGATATCTGCAATTAATGGTGCCCTTTTTTTTTAAAAAATTCTATTAAATAAGTATTTATACTTAAACAGAAAGACCACTTTTCGTATAATAAAAGATACAATACATAAGGTGATTAAAGGCTGAAAACTATAAATTAAAATTCTTAAGACTTATACTTGCGTTTATACGAATATTTATTTACATCATTTACAAATATAACAACTTAATTTATTAATATCTAAATCAATATCTTTATATACAAAACTTTATGAAAAATGATTATTTCGTAATATACCATAGTTAAACTTTTTTATCTCTGGTAGTATGTCATACATATGTGTTCGCTCTGCTCGCTACATATTCATTCTTAGATTAAAATTAATCACGCTTTAATCAGATTACAACCCACATTTGTGCTGAGCTAGATTATCCTTCAACAGCCAACGACTTTACTCAATGTTACATCCTTGCGCTTATAACACATTGTGATAGACAAGTCATTGTCAATAAAATCAAAACTACATACATACGTACATAGTTGATATGACAGTGGCTGCATATCGATTTATGGGTTCATATCAATATGGTTGGGTGCAGGACTCACTAAATTTGTGACTTCGTATCTGCAGGGACAAAAAAAAAACCGCAGTGGCTTTTTTTTATTAAAAGCTGACATTTGCGGTTAAACACTTTTTTTGTTTGTGTGGCATTCCATGTGGGAACTAAATACTATTTTTATAACACTTTAAAAATATTTTGATAATTACAGGTTTATAATATCTCTATTACATTAAAGATATGTAAATGCTTATATTGTGTGTGTATTGGATGCCTCTTACACACTCAGTGATATTTCCAGTATTAGCATGGGCCAGATATTTGCATTTAGCAACGCTTTCGTCATAACCATTTTTCTACTTACTACAATGAGGAATGCGGAATCAAAACGGATTCTTAGGTTATTGAGGAGAATTCGTTCCGCCCTCTACTTCACTTACCTGCCTACGTGCTTAAGAATATGTCATTTCTTGTGCAACAAAGCTATGAAACCAAACGCATTGTGTAATCTGTGGTTTGTGACACCGTCCTATAGAGACCACAAATCTTTCACATAATATCAAGTGAATAAAAATTAATAATCACTTGACTGTAGCAAATATAACTTATAGTTTGTCTTAGTCGTACGTCATTTCTATCTAACTAACACTAACTTTCACTGAAAGCAATGGTTTTTGACAGTGATTGAATTGAATAAAAAATGGACAATAAATATGAAAATTAGCACAATTTTGATACGACTATATAAGTTATATTATGTATTTTAAAAAAATTACAAATTATTAAAACTCATCTTAAAAATAAATGTCATTCATGAAAAGTTGGAGTTTTTTTGGTCATATTCCGTGACAACCGGAAAATTACGGACTATTGAAATTAATCATTAAAGGCAGAATTGAAGCCAGAAATGGTCCTGGGAGACGAAATAAATCATGGCCGAAAAATTTATGTCAATGGTTGAATAAAAGTACAAGTTCACTTATTCGAGAGGCTGCAGATAAAGTCAAAATCGCAATCATGTTAACCAACGTTCAAACGGACAAGGCACCTGGAAGAAGTAGATTCATAAAAAGTATTCTACTTAAAATGAGAAATCATACCATAAGTATAAATGTTTTCTTCTTTTGCTTTTTTTATTCTTAAACGTAAAAACTAACTAAATATATGAGTCTAGCTACCAGAATTATCACCTCTGAGACCGTGTTTATATGAATACTTAATTCACTGTTTAAATTCACTTTATTATGACACACTTAAAAATTACAGTACTGGTTAAATGCGGACGTGTACATCACATATTCAACACACTTTTCCGAGTATCATATAAGTGACTATAATTAAGTGGGCTACGCTATATCGGTTTCAGTGTAGTATAAACATTATCTGTGATGCGTCTAGCAAACCATCAGAGAGAAAACTGTTGTCACAAAAAAATTTAAATAAATTTTTAAAAAGGCTTATCGTATGTACACATACAAAATTTCATGCAAATATTTTTAAATTAATATACATTAAAATTAAAACTTATAAAACTTTTTCTATTATACGGAGTGCTGTTATTAAAAATAAAACTTTTTTATTTTACTTTCGGCATAAAAATTTTTAATTAACACACATAAGTTTCACAACTCCAATATAACTTTGTTTAAAGAGCAAAGTATTTTCCCACAAATGTGCTCAGATATAAATTAAAATGGGCTTATATTAATTACAGTTTTCGTCAAGACTTGCTTTTACTACTTTAAATTCAAGGAAGCCAAATGTTGCACAATAAAATTATTTTTATCTCCTCGATTTTATTCGACTGAATACGAGTGTAACTACCGCGTATTGCTTTCATTGATTAGTGCCTTTGGCTAAAAATACTCACAGCAAATCTTTTTAATGTATTTCAATATAAAACATATTTCATTCATAATATTCTACCGTATTTGGTATTTGAGAGGCAAATATTTATATTCACATTTCCACCTCGCGTCTTCCGCAAGTGTTGTGCGTCTTCCTTTTCTATAGTTCCGCACTAATTTCATCCTTCGGGATTACACCTAAGCGTTCATCTGAGTTCAATTTGCTACATGTGCAAATGTTTGTCTCATCCATTCGTTTGCAATAACCCAATAAAATTTAACCCTTATATCTGGCACAGATTCACCTTCATTATTCCCTTAAGTGTAATGTGAGTATAAAAGCTCATCGACTTATCCTGATCCTGCAATGAACACAGTTTACTTGCTTCGTAACTGCTATGCTTGCTGCTCCAGAAGAAATTTTCTGAATAAAACTTTCCTTTTTTTGTGTGTTGCATGCACAGGAACATGTAAACAATGTAGTGGAGCATCGCTGGAGAGCGAAGGAGGAAGAAACTTGTTAAATAAAATTAAAGTGATGCAGTAGTGCGGAACAATTAGTTGAATTTTAAAACTTACTACAGGGCGGGGAGGCGAAACAGTTTAATGATGTTAATATTATTCCCCTTAAGTACTGGGGTTGCATTTATTAAACAAACTTTTAAATGCGCTTTTCGAAAAAAATAATCACTAAATATGTAAGCGAATCATGTTGTTATCATAATAATGTATTTTCCGGTATATAAGTTTCATTAAAACGTAACACTAAGAATAAGTGAAGTGAAGAGAAGTGAAGTGAAGTAATTAGCATTCAAAACTTGTCTTCGGTTAGTTTTCGAAACTGTCTGTCTTTAATCTTGCTGAGATACAACCTACCTTTTAATAATGTTCAATAATGCTTAATTTATTTATTTCTATTTCTTTCTTAACTCAAGGTATTTTTAAAACCCCTCTTTATGCCTTGACTGGATTATTGTCTATCACTTCATCAGACTAAGCAATAATTGAACTCAGATCTGCATACCTCCCCGAGAAACCTGTAACCATACTGAGATTTGATAACGCGGTGTTAGTTTTTGCAAATAATTTCAGTGCTCTATCCTTAATGTATTTTTTAAAGGGATCAATCTTGAGGTCCCTGAGGATGTCATTCGTCCTCTTAATACTACCTATTAAAAATAAGGAGCAAATATTATAATACAAAGAAATTATTTTTCCAATGCGGAAAATATTGATGCTATTGACCTGAGAGTGTATCAAAGCCCTAAGTAATCACTTGTATGGTAAACTGTAATGTATGGTAATGTAGCTTCACTATTTTGGTAATCTTTTGAAAGTAAATATCGCATAAAAGGTCATTTTTAAACTTACTAAAATATACGACAGTGTGTTTTGACATTATGTGTCACTCGTATACGCTCACGAGGTGTTATGTTACTTGAAGTTGTTTATAAGGTACAGAGAAAAGTGTATTGAATAAATGAAACGAGTTCAATTATTTTCACCTAGTTTTTGCTAATATATATTTATATACCCGTATATAACAAAAAATAAATTTTAATCCATATAATCAGATTTTATAGAAACCGTTTATGTGGTTTTTGCGTCATGTCTTTCCAGGCACTTCTCCAGTTGTATATAACAAGTTCGCTTAGTGCTTTCTCAACTTGATCATTGTACTGGAAGCACGGTCTACCTCTACGCTTTTTTCTTCCATCAGCCGCCTCAAACACATTTTTCTTTGAAACAACATATATTCATATGATGAATGTATTTATTATATATTTTCACAACATGACCAACCCAGCGAAGTCGCTGGATGTTAATTCGCTGGATTATT